GTAAGCTGTTTGACTACCATTTTAGTAGTCGTAGATAAGTGTGGTGAATACAATTTAGATCCTCCAGCTATATATGTTGCATGGCAATCTCGAAGGATCTATAAGAGCATTCTAGAGCTTTATCTGTTGATTCTACATAAAGAGTGTTTATCGGTTGAGTTACCAATAAATCTTCTTCTCTTGCCACACATGTTAACTTTCTTTCAACAATGAATTTAACTTTCTGATGTAATGAGGATGGGACAGCACCTACCATATGGATCCATGGTCTACCCAATAAACAACTGTATGAAAGGAGAGATGTCCATAACTTGAAATTTCACATTGAAAATGCATGGGCCAATCTGTAATGGCACTTCTATATCTCCTAGCACCTCTCTTCTGGTTCCATCAAAGGCTCTCACTATCATATGACTAGGTTTCATATAAGATCCATCAACAGGAGTTTTGCCAGAGTAGTCACAGGCATAACATTGATGGATGAGCCATTATCAATCAAAACCTTAGCCATTATATGACTTTTACATTTCACAGTAATGTGAAGAGCCTTGGTACTTCCTCTACCTTCAAGAGGAATCTCTTCATCATTAAAAGAGATATAATTTGAAATCATCAGATTACCAACAAGTTGTTCCACATATTCAACAGAAGCATTGTGAGACACATATGCTTGATTTAGCACCTTCAGCAAAGCATTACGGTGTGACTTTGAACTGAACAATAATGATAATAACAAAATTCTAGCTGGCATCTTGTTAAGTTGTTCTACCACGCTATACTCGCTATGTTTTATTAACTTCAAAAATTCACCTACTTCACTCTCAGATACTGGTTTCTGGCATTCTTTTTTGGAGGTTACGTCAAGACCATTCTGACTTTCATTTTCTTCTCCTACCTTGGCTTTCTCCTTTCTAGCTTTTTCTAGAGCCTTTGGGGTATAGCACCCCACTTCGAGTTATGCCTCCTACACCCGTTATGTTTGGCAGTATCTGGGTTGACTACGATATCATAATCATACTTTCAAAGTACTACTTTATCATTCTGATATGGAAAAGGGCCAGAAACTTTAATTGTCACCACTGGTCGAGAGACAGGCTTTTTTAGCTTTGATGTTGGCTTCTCATCATAATAGATAGTTACCGGTCTACATACAAACTTATTCTTTGAATCAATGGTAGACACTTCAGCTTTCACTAACTCTTCTCTCTCTTGGTAAAATTCTATTCGACCTTTATCCATCAATTTTTGTACCTCTTGATGAAATTGGTGACAATTCTCAACAGAATGCCCCAGAACACCTTCGTGATAATTGTAGCTTTCAGTTGAGTTAATCTCTTCAAAGTAATTTTGAGGTTCTATTGGCTTCAACATGTCAGCTTTGACCAAGGCTTCAAACACTTTAGCCATAGGAGTTTTGACCTCTTCTATTCTTCTTTTCACATAGCTTGTTTGCCCATCAACCAAAGCATTTATTGATGGTCTGGTATGATTTGGTAGAGGGTTCCATTGACATTTGGAGTCCCTTGTTGGCTGGTATCAAAATTTAATACTCCTTCATTGATTAACCCCTGCACTTTACGCTTCAAAGTAGTACAGTTCTCAGTGGAATGACCTGGATTCCCATAGTGATAATCACAATGTGAATTGGGGTCATACCATTTGGGAAACGGAGGTTTCATAGGTTCAACAATGACAGGAGCAAGTAGATGTTTCTCAATAAGTCTGGGATACAAATCTGTGTATGTCATGAGAATGGGATCGAAAGTGAGTTTTTTTTGGGTATTTCTTGGGGCTCTTGGACCACTATTAGGTCTCCATTCTAGTCTTGTAGGTACAACATGGACGGTTATAGGAATAGGTGGGTGTCCGAAAAGATGGCTGAAAATGGGATGGATAAGTTGGTGATAGTAGTGGTTGGTATGGCTGATATGGATGAGGGATGGATGTAACATTGTTTATGGAAGGGTAATGGATTTGATAGACTAGTACAGAGTAGGGTGTGAAACCTCTAAATTGTTGCCCTACAAAGTTTACTGCTTGGGCCTCATTCTCTTTCTTTTTAGGAGCTCCACCTTTTCTTGCTCCACTTATCTCTCATGCATCGAGCTTACCATTCTTTATGGCATTTTCAATGATCTCACTTGATATCACCATATTTGTAAAGTTCTTGGTTGCATTGCCTATCAATCTCTCATAGTACGGTACTTTCAAGGTGTTCACAAATAAAACGGTTGTTTCTTTCTCAGTGAGAGGAGATTGTACTTGTGCAGCCACGTCTCTCCATCTTTGTGCATACTCCTTGAAGTTTTCAGTTGCTTTCTTTTCTATACTTTGAAGGGACAGACGATCTGAAACCATATCCGTGACATGTCGATATTGTGTAAGGAATGCCTTTGTAAGCTCTTGCCAAGAACAAATATGAATCCTATCTAGTTGGACATACCATCTAACTGTAAAACCTATAAGACTATCTTGAAATATATGCATTAACAACGTCTCATCTCGAGCATATGCTGCCATCTTTCGACAATACATGGTGATGTGGGTCATTGGGCATTTTGTGCCATCATATTTTTCAAATTCAGGGACCTTGAATTTAGGCGAAATTACCACATCTGGAACTAAACAAAGGTCAGCCGCATCTATGGAGCCATAAAAATTCATTCCCTCTACAACCCTAAACCTTTCTTCCAATAACTTCATCTTCTCCCGAGCACTGGTATCTTCTACCTTTTCAGGTGTCTGCAACCCTAGCTTTTCTCTTTCCTTGGGATCATCCAAATCAGGAACTAAGATTGGCTCAGGTGGTTTTTTCATCATAATGGGATTAACAAAATTTTGAAATTGTTTTGGAGCAAGTGTGGATGTCATTCCTGGATAAGGATTAGGATATCCACCGGGAGTAAGAATTGGTACTCTAGTTCCTTGTGAAGGTTAATTCAGTTGTGGCTCAAACCCTGAAGGATAGACAGGATCCACCATATCTGGCGATTGTTCTTGAAAGCTAAGATTTTCTTCCACTATTTTTCCCTTGTCAAGTTTTTTTGAGCATATCCATTATTGTGCTAAGATCCCCTTTTAGTTCTTCTTGAGCTTACTCAATTCTTTCAAATCGATTAGCCTGTTCTTGATTCATGATTCTTGTCTATATCCTGGTATTGTATGAATGACGAGTAGGTTGGGTCAAAATTTTTGATGGGCGAGCTATTCTTGAACCTTTATCACCACAAAGTTTTTATTTGGAAAAAGAAGAAATTAGAATGCTATGTGTTGAAAATTTAATTTTTTTTACTTATTTTATGAAAAATGATGTATATGATGCAGGAATGCAAGTGGGAGATATTTGTTCTTGGATGAATTTCAACATTAAAAATTTTATTGATCCCATACAACTTTTATTACATAGGATTTACCATCCTAGAGTTATATCCATAGAAGCATTTGACTTGCTCATAATGGTCATTTGCCTCATCTAGAAAGTTCACTAGGCGCTGTCTATATTCTCTTATAGGATTGACTTCTCTTCTTAATGCTTCTACCCTTTCAACCATCTCTCATGCTTTCCTTACTACCTTGCAAACTTGATTAGTCAAGTCTTCTATGTACTGTTGCCTCCCTAAGCTTTCTGCCTTCCATCTTATATGAGCATCCTTTTCTGAATCACATTTGAAGATCCAATCTTTTTCCCTTCTATGCCACTCATCTATCATTGCTGAAATATGACTTTTGTGGTCTTGTAGTTGTATCTCTAACCCTTGGATCACCTGGTGAAGTGATTCTTTTTCGTTCAGTACTTTGAAGTGCTTTCTTCTCTCTTTACAAGCATGACTTTCAATCTTTCCTTTTCGTTTTGGCATTCCACCAATCTTGCTGAGGTTGTAGAGTATAATCCCTTCCAATTCTAACATTCTTGAGAAATTCTGGTGGTCTCCTCTTGCTTTTCTTGAGCTTTGCCCTTCCATTGGTTTATTCCCTCTCGGAGCTCATCCATTTCACGTTGTCGGCTAAGGTAAGACTTGGTAACTTTTTCAGTTTTGAATTGAACTCGTAACCTCTTATTTTTCTAGTGTAGATCTTTCAAATCACTATTAGTCAGATCTCATTCTTTTATGACTTTTTCTAATCTGCTCCCTTGTATCTCCGTTTCATATTTTAATTACCCTACTTTCTTGTGAAGTCTCAAATTTTCTCTTCTTATTTCTTCTTTTTCAGCTTCTAATTCTTTCTTGACAAGCTCAACTTCTGATAATTGCACCTTTTCTGAAAGATTAACCGATTGATATGAGCTATCATCAAGAAAAAGTACTATGTCTCTAGGTCGCATTACTTTCCAAATCTGATAATCAGAAGTGACTTTGTCAATGAGAGGCCCTAATCTCATTCTTTGTGTTCTCTTCCATGCTTAAATCAACTGCTTCGAGGTTCTTGATGGATTCGATTGCCCATAAATGAATTCTACTTGGACCAGGCCATGAGTAGTAGAAACAAACTATTTTGCACCAAATTGCCTAAGTACCATCAATGGAGCGTAACTTACAACGCCCCATAGCCCTAATAATGGAATCCATGGCTCATTTCCTCCATGATACAACAAAGGCACACGAGGCATCCAAGGCATCATCCATTCGATTTCATCCCCAGTAAGCCTTCGCAAGAAAAGGACCCATTCTTCCTTAATCTTTAATGTCGGCCATTGGCTTTTACAAAACTCTTCGAGTGGTGCCTTATTTCGAAGATATGGTTTCGAAAATGCACTCTTCCCACATTTGAAATGACTTCTGACCCATACGTATAATAGAGATGCACATCCTATGAATCGTCCTTTCCCATTTCGTCGACAGAAATTCAATGACCTGATGGTTTCGGCTAGGACTGCTGGAGCGGGATTAATTGCTTGGGTTTTAATTTGCTCGAAAAAGTCTACCACAGTTATCTCAATGTAACCCAAAGTCTTCGAAAGATTACCATGCCATACAATGCTAGAGCAAACACATCCATACCTTGATCATTATCCAAATGCTCCTGAATGAAATTTCGAAGAAAGTCCCAACGAATGCCGAGATGTTCACCTTTAGACTTCACAAAGGAATCAATGGTTTCTACTTTAACCCCATAAGCTTGGCTAACTTTTTACGATAACCTGATTTTGGCTTTCGGGTAAATACTTTATCTGGACATTGTAGTTCTATCCCGAGCAAAATCGAATACTCCTCGATAGTTGGCACCAAATCTTCCTGATTAAAAGTGAAGCATCTATAGGATGGATCCCAAAACTGTATAGCTGCTTTGACCAGCTGTTCATCAACCACTACTGAAATGAGGATGCAATCTGCCCATACTTTTTACAAAAGCTTTCTTTTCTTTTTACTTAACTGACCCCAGACAGCAGCTAACTCTTTTAAATCATTCTGTGTGAGATCTAAATGCACTTTTTCGGGTAACTTCAGACACATAACGGTAGGCAAACAATCTCCGTTCTTTTGTTGAGCTCTTTCGACCAAACATGTACTTCATTATACGACTCACATGGCACACTGACTGAGGATGAGCAAATCTGTAGTTCTATGGGATCCATGAAAACTTCTTGGAGAAATATTCCTAGAGCAAATATCTCGATGCAAAACTGTATGATATGATTAATGCAAAAAAAATGAAACAAAATTGAGTTAGTGTGGTTTGAAAAAAACATTTTTTTTTTTTTTTTTAGTGTTTTTGAGATTTTTTTTTGTTTTGTTTTGTATTATACTATACACAACTTTTATTCTTAGGTATTTTCTACAAGAGGATGGACAAGGCTCTACATAAGGCTGGTTTCCTAGGCTTATTATATGCTGGGTTTGGATTGACAGGGTCTAAAGGTTCCCAAATTGTTCCTCACTGTCGTCCATGTTGGACTAGTAAGGCACCCGATCCTCACCCATTACAGGCTACGAACGGAAAGGGTTCAATTCGAGTGGAAGTATTTCGCTTGCCATTGCGGAGGTTATCACCTCACGAGAGCATAGGTACTTTACTTCCTTCCTATAAAGGACGGAGCCCGGGTATAGAGCTCATGTATGAGATGCATCGTGCCATTGTGTGCAAATATATCCTAATTTATTGAGAGCAATATATACAAAAAATAAAACATAAGAGGCATAGTAAAGAAATGTGTGTGAATTTTTTTGCTTTTTATTTTTGATTTGTTTTGTTTTTTTTTTTTTTTTACTACTAAAATGAAAAAAAAAATTAAGAAATTGATTAAGACTATTTAAATCAAAATTTAAGGATAACAAGTAGTTAATTTTGGCCTGACTCTCGAAAACAAAAGCGTCCCCAGTGGAGTCGCCAAGCTGTCGTAACGGTTTTGTGTCCGCCCGACGAATTTGGAAACAAATAAAAAATAACGGAGTCGCCACCAATCTTTTTTGGCTAGGTGCGATTGGCCACCTATTAAAACATATCCTTTTAATGAAATCTTAAAATTAATTAAAATTTATTAAAAAGATAATTTTACGGTCTGCGAAACAGTCTGGGTTCGGGAGTCGGTTACGCGTGGGAAGGATTAGCACCCCCACAACGCCCGTTAAAAACGGTACCAATTAACAACGTGTTATCCTTTGATTTTGATAAAAACAGTCTTATTTTCAGTATTCGAAAAATAATTTTCTTGATTTTTTATTTATTAAAAAAATTATTCTCGAGAAAAATAAATCAAAACCTTTTTATTGAAATAATTCTTAAAATGTTCCAGTACGTTGGTAACATTAAAAGAACTCTTTCTCACCTAGAGATTTCTTAAAGCATCTCTACTCGGAATACTTTTAGAATCTCATCTTTGGAGGCTCGAATTTATTTTTCGTAAGAAAATGTTAAAAAAAATTTATTCTCGAGAAAAATAAATTAAAACCTTTTTATTGAAATAATTCTTAAAATGTTCCAGTACGTTGGTAACATTAAAAGAACTCTTTCTCACCTAGAGATTTCTTAAAGCATCTCTACTCGGAATACTTTTAGAATCTCATCTTTGGAGGTCTAAATTTACTTTTCGTAAAAATTATGTCATGTATGCAATGCAAATAATAATATGTTGATGCACACATCTTTTCAAAAATTTTATTAATTGTTTTATTAATTTTTTAATTAAAATTAAATTTTGAAGAAAAAAGGAATTTAATTATATTGAAGATTTTCTATAAATATTCCAATACGCTGGTAATATTTTACAAAAAATCTTCTCACCTAGAGATTTCTTAAAGCATCTCTACTCGGAATACTTTTAGAATCCATCATTGGATTAAATTTCTTTTCTTCCTATTTTTATTACTTATTTTTAATTTATTAACCAATTTTTATTTATTATTAAAAAAAAAATCTTTACTGTATTGAAAATTTTTTATAAATACTCCAATACGCTGGTAGTATTTAAAAAAATCTTCTCACCTAGAGATTTCGTAGGCATCACTACTCGGAATACCTTTGAATCTCATCGTCGGATAAAAATTTCTTTTCTTTCATTTTTTATTACTTTAGTATTATTATTAAATTTATTTTTATATTATTGTTTTTAAAGTTTATTCTAAAAATTAACATAATTATAAAAAAATTTAACAACAATTTCATCATTTAATCTAACAAATATAAATATTTTAATATGCATAAATATTAATAAAATAATATATAAAAAAAATAAGAAAAATTCAAACAAAAATTTTTTTTACCTGAACCGGACCGGTCAACGGTCCGGTCAATGCACGGTTCGGTTCGGTCTGGTTTGGTCCGACGGTTTGGCTCGGTCTGGGCGGTTCAGAGGTGCAATACAGGTTCGGTTCGGTCTGGCCGGTTCAGTTCCGATCTAGTCAGACCGGTCAGAGGCTGATAAAGGAAACGAGTCGCGGGTCAGGTGCGCAGACCCCGGGTCGGGTCACTGATCGACGCGCGGATCCTCCTTGGTCGAAACGGCGTCGTTTTGACCCTATGCTCAAAACGATGTCGTTTGCGTTTAATGATTTCTATAAATAACTAAAAAAATTTTATTTGCTTATTCTTTCAGTTTTTCAGAAAAAAAAAGGGGAAAGAGAGCTCTGGGGTGAGCTCGTCGGTCGATCACAGGACCACCGTGCCGACTGCCGTCTGGGTTGCCTTCGACAATCGTTGCCGATGGTTTTCGATCAGCGAAAAAGGTGAAAATTATTCTGGAAATTCTCTACGACGCGATCTTTCCAGATTCGGTGTCCTTTTTATCGGAAACAGCCCCGATCGACGTAGATTGGGGCTCAAAGTTTCGGTCTCCTTTCTTTTTCTTTTTTTTTGGACAGAACGACTGATCTCTCTCTTTTTTTTTAGGTGGCTTTTTGGCGCTGGGTTCCCCGTTTGAGGGGACTGTTGTTTTTTTTTTTTGTATTTTTGCAGAAATTTTTTTTTTTACAGAAGCTGCCCTTCTTTTTTTTTTTGGCCGCTTTTTTGCCTCCCTTTTTTTTTTGGTCTGGTTTGCAAGCTCTATTTATAGAGCTTGTTGGGATTCAAATCTCAGATTTTTTGGGATTCGAATCCCATTTTTCAACTGAAAAATCACACCTACCGTCCGTGATTGGTGGCTTGTCGGTCATTGGCAGCTATCGGTGGTGCTTTTGACTTTAGGGATTGTGCATTTAATGCACTAGATTTGAACCAGATAAGGATGAAGAAAAAGGAAAAAGAAAGGAAGAAGAAGACAAACGCAGAAATGGGAAGAAAAGAAAGAGAAGAAGAAAAAGAAAGAAAAAAAATTAAATAATAATAATAATAATAATAATAATAATAATAATTAAAATTAAAATTAAAAAAAAAATGGTGTTTACAATGTTGTTGTCGGAGATTTGTAGGCTTGTTAGATTATGACAATGTCCCCATTTTGGAGAAAGTTCACCATAAAATCTGTTCTTGCTTAATGAAATATAATTCAAATTCGGATACACAGCAGAAGCTTCTGATATATTTCCTGTAAAGTTGTTTCCTTCAAGCCTAACTCTATATAAACTTTTGCAAGTTTTAAAAGTTGGTGGGATATGACCCGTCAAATTGTTGTTGAATACCGTAAGCTTTGCGAGTTGTCCACCGAGGCATACATTCTCAGGTAATGGACCACTGAGATGGTTGTCTGATAATTGTAATGATTCCAAATGAGTAACATTGCTAAGTGTTGGAGGAAGGAAACCAGACAAACTGTTATCAAATAAATGAAGTTTGGTAAGAGATACAAGCATCCCTACCCTCTTGAGGTATTGACCCGGAAAGCTTATTCTCAAAAAGGTAAAAGACTAGACAATTTGGTTAAGTTTCCTATGGAATTAGGGATGACACCAGTGAGATTATTACTTGACAACTGCATTGTGGTGAGAGATGCAAGTTGTCCTATTTCATTGGGGATATAACCAGAGAGGTTATTATTATACAGATAAAGCCATAACAAGTTACTTAGGTTTCCCAGAGATGCTGGGATAGGACCAGTTAGGTAGTTCACTGAAAGATCAAGCATAACAAGTGACCTCATCATTCCAACTTCTTTAGGTATGGAACCACTGAGCCTATTGTCAACGAGGACAAGTCGGGACAAATTGTGCAAGCTTCCAATAGAAATAGGTATCGGACCAGTGAGATAGTTTTCATGGAGATAGAGTATAGAAAGTGAACTTAATAACCTTCCTATATTAGATGGAATATTTCCGGGGAAATTATTCTTGGACAAGTCAAGTTCGGTGAGCTTGGGAAGATTTCCAATGTGTGAGGGAATGGACCCATACAGTGAGTTGTTAGGAAGGTGAAGACCCATCAGGTTGGGGAAGGACAAGAAGTTGAGACTATGAAGTGTACCTTTGAACCCATAATCTCGAAGTCTTAGATTGGTGATGCTTCCACCCTTGTCGCAAGTGATTCCGACCCAGTTGCAATGGCTGTCTCCAACCCACAAAGAAGAGAGCAAAGTTTGGGAGTTGTTGTCAAGGCTAGCTTTCCATTTTAGAAGAGTTTCTGCTTCTTTACCAGGTGCAGCAGCTGCTGAAGAAGCAAAAACGTAGGATGATTGAACCGACAGAAGCATGAGAAACAACAGGACTTGGAATGATATTAAGAAAGATGCCATGATACGGATAGTTCGAAGGAATATTTTGTTAATTATTAGGTACAAATTACATTGGCTAGCATGGATGATCAGGTGTTTATTCAGTCCCTTTCCAGTTAATTTCCACGACGACTAATAAACTAACTTATTCGCGGCACTAATAAATTAGTAAACGTGGTTCACGCACAAGTCAACTCAAGATTGCAAGTCATGAATGTGGTGAAAACATATCGGCGTTGATTGAGTACAGATTAGGGTGTGATCAAATAATTGCAAAACCACATAAATCATGAATGACGTGAAACACTCCTTGAAAGACTTCTCTGGTCTTCCTCCAATTTACATTGGCATCAATTTCAGATGTTTCTACTTTTTTTTTCTCTTTTCCTTTCTTACGTTTTTTTCTTTATTATAGTGGGAAAAGGAGAGGCAGTTAACTAGGGTGGGGTGGGTAGGGTGTGAGCGCATTACAAGAAAATGGAAGATTAATGGCAGTTTTGTAGCAGCGTTTCACTTAAAAATGTCACTAGCTTTCATGTTTTTCTTTTTTGGTTGCAAAGGATGGCTAGTGCCCTTGTCATAACGTCTAGATCCGGGGATCCATCGCTAAACATTAATTTGAGGAGTCACCACCAATCTTTTTTATCTAGGTGCGATTGGTCACCTCAGGAATCTATCCTTTTAAAGAACACCTAAACCTAAGGGTCCCTAAAAGAATAGGTTCAGGTCTACTAACCAGAACAGGGTTCGAGAGTACAGTTTACATGTGAGGAAGGTTGTAGCACCCTCACAACACCCATTGAAAGATGGTACCAGCTTAATTTTGTGTTATCCAATAAGCCTTAAAAATTTACCAAGTAATTAATTATTGAAAATTATTCTCAATTAACTCTAATACTTTTAGCAGAAAATTGAGAAAATTCCCTCACCTCAAGAGTATGCAAAGAAACTACTATTTTACTTGCAAATGCTCTATCATAGGATTATTTAACATTAAAGAAAATTCAAAAAAGAAAAAAAATAAAATGAAAAAAAAAGAATAATGATTCAGCTTTAGATATAAATATTTTTCCCTTCAAAAACTCATTGCTTTTGTATAAGAAAATTTGATGCTTTCAACTTTTCCTTAAAATGTTTTTTCTTTTAGGAAAATTGGTACTTCCAACTTTTTACCAAAATATTTTTCTGAAACTTTAATTTCGAGAAAAATTGATACTTTCAACTTTTTCTCAAAAATATTTTTTAAAAAAATTTATTTTTAAAAAAAATTGATATTTTCAACTTTTCCTCGAAAATATTTTTTAGAAAATTATTTTCAAGGAAAATTGATACTTTCAACTTTTCCTCAAAAATATTTTTTTATAATTTTATTTTAAGAAAATCATTTTAAAAAATAAAATAAATAAAAATAAAAATAAAATAAGGAATACCAAATTATTCTAATGTAATTAATAAGTAATAATAATAATAATGATAATGATGATGATGATAATAATAATAATAATAATAATAATAATAATAATAAAAAGAAATAATAATAATAATAAATAAGAAAAAAAGAAAAAAAAACCTTTGGAACGACTCGGCTCGGCTTAATGTGGCTCAGCTCCAGGAAGAACGACAACTCAGATGTGCGGCTCGGTAGGAAAATGGCTCGGCTCGAACCCAGGCGGAGAAGCGTGTCACTGGATTGAGTGCGCTACGAGTCGGGTCGGATCTTGACAAAACGTGTGGATCCTATGGGTTTACTAACGCAAAAATGACGTCGTTTTGAGGAGGGTATATAAGGCTGAAACTCGATTTCTCTTCAGATTTTTCTTCTGCTTTCCTCTCTCTTCCCTTATTTTCTCCTCCTTCTCTCTAAACAATCCCAGATTTCGGTTGAATGTTCTACCGAAATTTGGAAAAAAATGTCGGAAACTTCAAAGTTGGCTGAAAAACTCGTCAGAAAACTTGAATATCGTCAAAAAATTTCATCAAATTCTGAAAAATTTCTCACAAATTCCTAAAGTTGTTTCTAACGCACAAGAACCTTTTTTAGCTTATGTTTCCTCTTTGTATGTTTCCTCTTTTTGTGTGTTCTTCATTCGTTTTCTATGGGCCTATTTATAGGGATTAATCAGAAGAGTTTCTAAACAATCCCAACTCCTTTTGAGATTTGGATTCAATCTTTGAATCCAATCTCGAGTCTGCCAGCCCCCAAATCATGGCCAAATTCATTCCAATTTTTTATCCTAATCCTAATCTTAACCGAAAAAAAAAAATAAAATAAAAATAAAAATAATAGATAAATATATTAATAGATAACTAAAAGAAAATAATTAGATAAATAAAAAATATTAATAAATAATAATAATAAATGAAAAATAATAAAATTAAATTAAATTAAATTTAAAAAAATGAACCAATAGTACCCATTTGTACCAAGCCCAATTGATCCGAGCTTAGACCAAATTGGGTGTTACAATTGCCCCTCTTTGCACATTTTCTGTGAAACAGGAATTGTACAAAGACGTAGACGCCCATTCAAGAATCAACTCAAACTTTTTGTTTTTTTTTTGTTTTTTATTTTTTTTGTTTTTTTGTTAAAATTTTGGTCAAAGCTCTTCTAAGCAGAGGCTCAACGACTTTGAGTAAAATAGATAAAGCTCCTCTAAACAGAGACTCCACGACTTTGAAAATAAATGGCTCCTCTAATCAAAGGCTCAACAACTTTGGAAAATAAATGGCTCTTCTAATCAGAGGCTCAACTACTTTGAAAAATAAATAAAGCTCCTCTAAATAGAAGCTTAATGACTTTGAAAAATATAAGGCTCCCCTAATCAGAGGCTCGATGACTTTGAAAAATAAACAAAGCTCCTCTAATCAGAGGCTCAACAACTTTGGAAAAAATAAACAAACCTCCTTTAATAAGAGGCTCGATGACTTTGAAAAATAAACAAAGCTCCTCTAAGCAGAGGCATCACAACTTTTGAAAGTAAATTGCTCCTCTAAACAGAGGCATCATAACTTTTGAAAAGTAAATTGCTCCTCTAAACAGAGGCATCACAACTTTGAAAGTAAATGCTCATTGACAATCATGTCTAAAAGAGTTAAAAATTGTGTTTGAAGGAATTTCAGGAGATTATGCCCAAAGGTCTTACAAATCAATCCTGATACCGAGAGATATCCTATTTCAAGGATTAGAAACTTACCTGACAAGCTTTTTCTCAAATTTGAAAATGTCTTCACGTCTATCTTCTCTATGTGGGATTTTGGAATATCCCTGCTTCTTAAATTTATGCACTATATTTTCTTGAATATAGTATATGCTATGCAATGCGTGTGAAATTCAATGCATGCTATGCAAATGTTGGCTAATTAATTCCTATTCAATTATGGTACTCAAGTTTCTCAAGCTCTTTTCTTAGGCCCCGAACCCTTGATTCTTCAAAAACCAAGTTACACTATTCTTCTAAGATCGAGCCAGTGTAACTCTCAATCATCTCTTCCATTTAATTCTCAGATTCTTTCTATAAGAAATCTCTTTCCAAATTCAATGTCCTTATCAAGAACTGAACATCTCGATTTTGCCTTTATCACTCTTGACTTCTTCAATGTAATGTAAAAATCTTTCATGCCATTATTCATTTATCAATCATTATTTCAAACTCAAAAAGTAAGAATGCATTTGCACATTTCTTCCATTGTAAGGTATTAAGAAGAAAAGAATAAGAATGGTTGAGAAACAGTCAACAGAAGAGGCACACAAAAAGTGAAATAGAATGTCTTTTATTAGCAAAAATGTTGGCAAACTTTAGCCAAGAAAGAATTACAAAAATAGGTATAGGGAGACAATGCCCAAAAATGAACAATCGGACAATCATGATAACACATCTCAAGGTTTTTCTGAAAACCCAATCATTTGATGCACTTAACAAATTAGAGCTTCTTCGAATTTGCCAGCCTCCCTGCCAATGAATTTTCAGATTTGATGCTGTATTCTCCTTATCTAAGCTGTCTTTTTAGGTTTTCAATGTAGATAAACCCCCTATGACTCAAACCGCCCTTTTAGGGTTTTCGCCTTAAGTCCTTCTTTTTCATTCCCTTTTTTCCTTTTTTCTTTTTTTCTTTTTCTTTCCTTTTTTTTCTTTTTTTTCTTTTTTTTTTTTTGCCTTTTTTTTCTTTTAAGCATAGTTTCGAAAAAAATGTTTTTGTATTTTTGTTAATAATTATATTTCAAATTTTACTAACTATATATTATATTGAAAATTTTGGATTACATTTAATTGCAGTCAAACCTCAGCTATAATTAAATATTAAAAATGAAAAATATTTTATAATGATAAGCCTTGAATTTTTCATATAAACCTCCATTCTTATATTATATCCAATTAAGTCCTTAAAAAATTACTTTTGTTTAATTAAATCTTTAATTACAATTTTGTTCCATTAAGCTCTTTTTTTAGACGAAAATTAAAACAAATTATTATTTCTTGCCAAATCAACATGTATGCTGCAATTCTTTCTATGATGCCAACATCTACATAACATATGTTTGAAAATAAAAAAGCTCTTTAGATGCTAATGTGGCCAATTATATGAGGCATTCATTACATATTATGTAAACGAAAGCTCAATTTAAATTTTTATATTTTTCAATGCGGATATTGATTTAATAAAGGTATTTATTACCGTTGATGTGATAAAAATAATGAATTGTAGTGGTTTTGATGTAAAATAAGACTTAATTAAATAATAATGGTGTTTTATGCTTTCAATTGGAAAAAAAAAAAAATTATTTGAGAAATTTGAAAAAAGTACAACATTTTTTTAGCGTTTTAATGAAAAAAGTACAAGTTAAAGGTATATGCTTCAACATCATCCTCAAATCCATTTCAAGTGTACTCGTTACAATTACAATTAAATTTTGAATGATTTAAAAGGCAGGGAATGAAGAAAAGTTAGAACAAAGAAATTGTGAGAAATAATGTAAATTAGTGTGTATAAGAATAAATGATGAGTAAATAGTAAAATCAAAAGGTTATTGTGTGAAGTTGTGTTTATTGTAATTTGGTGTACTCACTAATTGTATTCTTTGTTTGTTCAAACAAATAAAAAAGTAATATTAAAATTGTTGTAGATTCCAAAACGAAAGTAGCAAATCAGTACTACAACAGAATATTACAATTGATACTGAAAGTTGAAATTCTACATCTGGTCATTAGTTATTTTTTAGAAATAGAAAATTTTGAACATACAAATTGAGTATTTAAACACAACTATTATATATCACAATCAATCACTACAAAAGCTTTATTACTAGAGCGCTTAAACATTTTCAATACAAAAAAAGAGTAAAATAAATAGATTAAAAGTAAATAAACATGCTTAGAATTATTATTCAAATTGTTAGCACCTTAATATTAGCCAGTGTAGACTTCATGTTCCCACAATTCTCCCAATTTTATGATTGAGAAAGGATTGGGTAATGGAAGCTATTAATGGATAAAGGCTTGAGCAACTTGTCGCATGGTTGGCCGAAGTTGGGATTGCCATTCAAGCATTCAAATGCTAGCTTTGTAGTAGAGACAACATCTTTTGCAACTTGTCTTACCGTTAGTGAGAGACGTTGGTCTATCACATCTTTAGGTAAACATCACATCTCTTGTCTAGTTTCATTGTATAAATCAATTCTACTTAAAAAATATATATTTAATCAATGTGGTCTATTAAGTAATAAATATATCTAATCAAATACGTTATTATGTAAGAATATTGAGAAGATTATAAAATAAGCTTGAAAAGAAATTATGAGTATTTAAAAAATTACATGCAAATTGAAATTTAGAGTTTACATAAGATTTTATATTTAGTTCATTCATTTGATATATTGAATATTGAAAAATTAAGTGTTAAAGCTCAAAGATTAATTATACATTTGATACTTGAATTACATAACGGAACGACTTTATCTAAAAGTGAATATCAACTTATTGATTATTTAATTACTTTCTATTGCAGGCTATATGGTTTATTGGACTGGAACTTGGGCTTAAATGAATAAATGCGGGCCATGTTGGTAGGCTATATTTGTTACAGGCCTATTTAGTTTTTTTGTTTCTATCATTATATATGTTATTATTGTTATACTAGACGAGGAGAGAGAAAATTATGATCTGCAATATCCGATATTTGTGGATTATAGTTATGTTGAGTATTCTGCTAAGAATTACAAATGATGAAAAGGAGTATTGTATACGATTTTGTCAAGAAATATCAGCAATTATTCTCTCTTCTAGAATTCTTTCTTCTTTTCTCTTTCTCCTTTCTCTTCTTTTTTTTTTTTCTTCTGCGATCTATCTGTTGTCGTTATTTTGAAAATTTAAGCTGTGTCACTTTGGTATCAAAGCATCGACTTGGCAATCATGGCGGATGGAGTCTCTACGGGATGCAAAAGGAAATCCAAAAAAATGAAGAGAAAATCGCTAAATCTAGCAGATCGATGCAAAGATGGAGAAGAAATTTGATGTCAAGATGGAACAAATGTTTGGAGTGATGCAAAATAAGTTACTAGAATATTTGAAAAAGTTGTTGGAGATGGCTCCTAACGATGGTAGCTCGATGCCTAACAAGCAAGAGGGAGACTTAGTCTCTGTTAGCGAAATGCAGAGGAAGCAGGGAACAGAGCCTGTTTCTGATTGTGATACAGACAAACCTTCCTCTGGTGAATGATGCTCAACAGTTTTTCACATTTAGATCAACCCTGGTACTTGTTTTCTAATTCATGTAAGTTGTTTAGTGGTCATGATTTCAAAGGTTGGGTTTTGAAACTAGAATAGCACTTTGAGGTTGACAGAATACCTGCGATTATATTGATTAAAAAAGTTTTTTAAAAAATTAACACTTGTCTTATTAGAGTATATTTATAAAAAATTAACAAATTGATTAATTATTTAAATAGTTATAATGAGTTTTTAAAAATTATTGTATAAAATAATAATCCAAATATTAAATGGATATAACAACTTTAAAATAATTTGTATAATTAAAAAATTACCATAATAATTTTAAAATATATATAATTTTTTTAGTATTGTGTAGAGTTCATAAAAAAGTTACGTAGAACCCACACTTTAAATGGTAGACTTTTATTCAATTTTTTTAATTGGCTAATTACAAAATTGCAATAAAAATTATAGGTGAAACTAGCTTTTTTTTTTTTTTTTGGCAATTAATTTTGTTCGAAGCCTATCGTTTCTCTGAATAAATAAAACAAGAGTACTCTTCACCATATTATTAAAAAAAAAAAAAGGAGAAAAAGTTATCAAAAGTCAATTGATATTTAATTTAAAAACATGTTGGACTAAATTCAACTATAATTTTAGTTTGGGAAAAAATGTTTTGTATTTTATTGGCTATATATTATTATTATTGAAAATTTTAGATTAAATTTAATTACAGTCAAACCCCAGCTTTAATTAAATATTAAAAATGAAAAATATTTTGTGATGATAAGCTTTTGAATTTTTCATATAAGCCTCCATCCTTCTATTATATCAAATTAAGTTCTTAAAAAATTATTTTTGTCTAATTAAACCTTTAAAGTATAATTTTGTTCCATTAAGCTCTTTTTTATAGATGAAAATTGTAAAAAAAAGAAAAATTATTTCTTGCCAGATTAACATAGATGCCATAATTCTTTCTATGACGCCAACATTTACATAACATATATTTGAAAATAAAAAAGCTCTTTGGATGCTAATGTGGCCTATTATATGAGCCATTCATCACATATTATGTAAACAATAACTCAACTTAAATATTTATATTTCACAAAGCAGACATTGATTTAACAAAAACAATTATTGCCATTGACATGGTAAAAATAAAGAATTTTAATGGTTTTCATATAAAATAAGACTTAATTTAATAAAAGTAATGTTTTATGCTTTTAATTGGATAAAAAAAAAAAGATAAAAGTTTATTTGAGAAATTTGAGAAAACTACAACATTTTTTTAGCATTTTAGTAAAAAAAAGTATAAATTGAAGTTATATAGTTTAAAATCATCACTCAAATTCATTTTAAGTGTACTCAATACAATTACTATTAAATTTTAAATGATTTAAAATGTAGGGAATGAAGAAAAGTTAGAAAGATAAAATTGTGAGAAATAATGTGTATGAGTGTGTATAAGAATAAATGGCCAGTAAATAGTAAAATCAAAAGATTATTGTGTGAAGTTGTGTTTATTGTAGTTTAGTGTACTCACTAATTGTATTCTTTGTTTATTGAAACAAATAAAAAAGTTATATTAAAATTGCTATAGCATTCCAAAGCAAAAGTACTATAGCAAATCCGTACTATAGGAGAAGATCACATTTGATACTGAAAGTCGAAATTCTACATCTAACCATTAGCTACATTTCAGAAATAGAAAATCTTAAACATACAAATTGAGTGCTTAAACACAAATATTCTATATTACAGCCGATTCACTACAAAAGCTTTATTATAGAGTGCTTAAACATTTTCAATATAAAGGAGAAAAAGAAATAAATTGAAAATAAATACACGTGCTTAGAATTATTATTCAAATTATTAGCACCTTAATATTAGCCCCTGCAAACTTCATGATCCCACAATTCTCCAAATTTTATGATTGAGAAAGGATTGGGCAATGGAAGCGATTGACGAGTAAGGGCTTGAGTGACTTGTTGCATGGTTGGCCGAAGTTGGTGATTGCCATTCAAGCATGCAAATGTTACTTGCTGTAGAGACAACATCCTTTGCAACTTGTTACGGTGGTGAAAGACGTTGGTTCTTTATATCTTTAAGTAAAATATGTTGGTTCTCATTGGGTACCAATGTCGATGGTCGATGCGACGACGACGATGCTTTAAATATGAAATCAAATCACAGGTGCCTCCCATAAAATTTCCATGTTAGCACTCCAAAACTATAACATCACATCGTTCGTCTACTTTCGATGTATAAGCAACTCTGCATTAGAAAAAATATATCTATCAATGTGGTATATTAAAGCAAGAAATAATATTTTATCAATACACTATATGTAAGAATAAAGAATATGAGAAGATTATAAAATAATGTTGAAAAGAAATTTGTAAATGTTTAGAAGATTATTTGAAAATTGAAATTCATTGGTTCTAACCAAAATTTATACCCATTTAGTCATCAGTTAGATATATTTGGAATATTGAAAAATTAAGTGTTAAACTTCAAAGATTAATTACACATTCGATACTTGAATTATAGTAAAATTCTTAATTTGATACTTAAAATTTGAAAAGTTACAATTGTGATACTACTTGAACTTTGTTTTAATGCATCAATTTGCACACAAACTAACACTTTTAATTGAATGATGACATATTTAAAGCATCTTAAAAAAATATATAAATAAATACCTGGAGCTATGTACCCAAAAGTACCAACAAGTGAGGTCCAATTAGAAGAGTCAGGCTTTAAAAGCCTAGCTGTGCCGAAATATGAGACATGAGCCTCATAATCCAAATCCAGAAGAACATTGTTATTGGAAATGTCTCGATGAATTATAGGTGGTGAATGGTCATGATGTATATAAGACAAGGCATTCGCCACTCCTTTTACAACATTTAGCCTTTTCTCCCAATCCAACTCCATTGCCTCGTTCTTGTTGCTTAACACCATTCTCAAACTTCCCCTTTCTACAAACTCATAAACCAAAAATGAGTTCTTTGGATGTGAACAAAAGCCATACAGCTTCACAATGTTACGATTGTCTTATTTCTGATAAGGCATGAATCTCGCTTTCAAAGGCTTTCAAGTTGTTGGAAATCATGCTATCTTCAGATTGGTGAAGTTTCTTCACAGCAACCACCTCCCCAATGGGTAGCGCAGCTTTATAAACAGTTCCATAGCCTCCTGAACCAATGCAATTGTTGGCGCTGAAATCTTCAGTGGCTTCAATAATGTTCTCATAGAGTATTCTTCCATTATATCCCCACAATGTGAAAAAATCTCCAAGTTGTGCCTCGATTGACTCGGATTTTCTGGTTTGGTTCTTTTGGCAAAGAATAAGGAAACTTCCAGCCATGACAAAGAGCAAAAGAAGAAGACCAAAGAGTGGAAGTACAATGAAAATGATGATTTTGCTGCTTTTTCTATGACCGTTGCTAGTAGCAGCGACAGCACAAGGCATTAGTCCAGTGGCATTACCACATAGTCCCTTATTGTTTCTTAAGGCATCAAATGAAGCCTCATGAAATGCCTTAATGTTAGGAATAGGGCCTTCTAATTGATTGTAAGATATATTCACAACAGTCAAGCTTTTCAAATCATTAAAAGAATTTGGGATGCAACCATTGAGCATATTGTGAGAAAGGTCCAATATTTCCAAGGAATGTAATTTTGCAAGCTCCTGTGGTATCTCCCCAATAAGTAAATTCCGACTTAAATCTAGATTTTGAAGGCCATTTATGTAGCTTACTGAAAATGGAATGCTTTCTCCAAGTTTATTCTTGCTCAAATTCAGGTCCAATAACTTTGAGCACTCTCCAAGTTGATTAGGAATCGGTCCACTCAAATTGTTTGATGCCAAGTTAAGATATTGTAGATTTGAAAGAACTCCAATCTCTGGTGGAATTTTGCCTGAAAGTTGGTTACCACTTAGCAAAAGTTTGTACATCAATGTCAACGCTCTCAATTCCTTGGGAATCTCACCAATGAGATGATTTGAAGAGACATCGAGTTCGTGTAATTGAGTTGCATGCTTCAGCTCGGGTGGTATCTTTCCAGAAATGTTATTATTGGAGATCCGTAGGCTTGTTAGACTATGGCATTGCCCCCAGTTTGGCGAAAGTTCGCCATAAAATTTGTTGTTGCTTAATGCAATATAATTCAAATTAGGATATATACCAAAAGCTTCTGATATATTTCCTGTCAACTGGTTTCCTTCAAGCCTAACTCTGAATAAGCTTTTGCAAGTTTTCAAAGTTGGTGGGATAAGACCCGTCAAATTGTTGATGAAAGCCGAAAGATTTGCGAGTTGTCCACCCCTGCATAAATTTTTGGGTAATGGACCACTGAGATGGTTATCTCCTAGTTGTAATGATTGCAAATGAGTAAGATTGCCAAGCGCTGAAGGAATTGGCCCTGATAAATGATTATGGTGAAGATATATCTTCATAAGCTTCGACATGCTTCCTATGGAAGCAGGGATTGAACCAGAGAAATTATTTTGACTCAACCCAAAGTCAGTGAGAGATTTAAGCATCCCTATCTCTTGAGGCATCGACCCAGAAAACATATTTTGATCGAGGTAAAGAGTGGATAGACTGGTCAAGTTTCCTATGGAAGCAGGGATTGAACCAAAGAAATTATTTTGACTCAACTCAATATCAGTGAGAGATTTAAGCATGGCTATCTCTTGAGGTATCGATCCAGAAAACATATTTTGGTAGAGGTAGAGAAAAGATAGGTTGGTCAAGTTTCCTATGGAAGCAGGGATTGAACCAGAGAAATTATTTTGACTCAACTCAAAGTCAGTGAGAGATTTAAGCATCCCTATCTCTTGAGGTAACGACCCAGAAAACATATTATGATGAAGGTAGAGACTGGATAAACTGGTCAAGTTTCTTATGGAAGCAGGGACTGAACCAGAGAAATTATTATGACTAAACTCAAAGTCAGTGAGAGATTTAAACATCCCTATCTCTTGAGGTATCGACCCAGAAAACATATTATGGTGAAGGTGGAGAGTGGATAAACTGGTCAAGTTTCTTATGGAAGCAGGGATTGAACCAGAGAAATTATTATGACTCAACTCAAAGTCAGTGAGAGATTTAAGCATCCCTATTTCTTTAGGTATCGATCCACAAAACATATTTTGATAGAGGTGGAGAACAGATAAGTAGGTCAAGTTTCCTACGGAAGCAGGGATAGAACCACGTAGATAGTTATCAAAGAAATAAATCTCGGAAACTGAACTCAGCCTCCCTATCTCTAATGGAATGGAACCACTGATCTCATTACTTGCCAAGAAATCAACTCAAGACCTTTCAATAAGCAAATTTCGGATGGAATATTCCCCGAAAAGTTATTGTATTGCAAGTCAAGGAAGGTGAGCTTGGAAAGGTTCCCAATGTGTGAGGGAATGGGCCCATACAGTGAGTTGTTGCGAAGGTCAAGCCTCATCAGGTTAGGGAAGAAAAGAAAGCTAAGACTATGAAGTGTACCTTTCAACCCAGAATCTGGAAGGCTAGATTGGTGATGCTTTCAGCCTTGTCGCAGGTAATTCCAACCCAACTGCAATGGAAGTCTCCAACCCACAAAGAAGAGAGCAAAGTTTGGGTGTTGTTGTCAAGGCTAGCTTTCCATTTTAGAAGAGTTTCCGCTTCTTTACCTCTTGTAAGTGCAGCAATGGAGGATGAAGAAGCAAAAACAGAGGAAAAGTGAAGCAGGACAAGTATGAGGAAGAACATGACTTTGAATGGTATTAAGAAAGATGACATGATTTGGATAGTTCAAAAAGGTTTTTTGTTAATTGTTCTAAATTACATTGGCTAGCATGGTTAGGTATTTATGCAAAATACAATAGCATTTTAGTGCGAAACATCAAGTGAAAAAAATATAACTTTAAGACCGACAGATCTTTTACGTTTAAATTATTTTTGTTAGATGATGACTATTGGTCTTCTACGTTTAAAGGATAATTTTAGCTTTAGTTTGCACTTATTATTAATCAAATGTTAAAAAAATCATGATAATTATTTTAAATGAAAATTATATCTTATACATCAATCAAATTTTAAATTCTATAAATGAGTTTAAAAGATTACTACAAACAATTAGATCATAAATAAAAAATTATGTAAAGAAATTAATGAATTAAATATTTTATATAAAAATTTTTAATCTTATAAATAAAATTAAAAAAATTGACATATGTTTTTTAAGAATATATCTATAAATATTAATGAATTGTTTAATTATTATATAAATATATGCATACAAATTATTTTATTTAATTTATGAAATTTAAAATTTTTATCATCAATTTGTATTAAATAATAATTAAATTATTAAATGAAGATGCGACGGCTGTGTAGATTATAGTGAAGTCAATATATAAGATAATAATTTTAAATGTATAAATTTTTATTCATTTAATTTGGTTCGGGTTTATCTTTTATTCAATATTGAATCTTGTCCAAATTTTTGGCTTCTCATTTTTAACATGTTCATGCTGCACAATAAATTATAGGTCAAAGGATATCATTTATAAAAATGTAAAAAAAATTAAAAAATATCATTTGTAATTCAATTTTGATTAATATTTATTTAACGGTAAAAATATCTATATAAAAAAAATCAAATTTGACTTATAAATTTGTAAGTCAATAAGAATTGATGGTTAAATTAGATTATTTCAAGTTTAAATTTTAAAATTTAAAGAGTTCAAAATTTAAGTCATTTTATAGATTCAATATTATCTAGAAGAGTTAAAATTCTACAAGGATTTACATAAAACATACTCTCTGAACTAATCATATTCTTTGAACTTATTCTATCGTATTCTTTAGGTATCGATCCACAAAACATATTTTGATAGAGGTGGAGAACAGATAAGTAGGTCAAGTTTCCTACGGAAGCAGGGATAGAACCACGTAGATAGTTATCAAAGAAATAAATCTCGGAAACTGAACTCAGCCTCCCTATCTCTAATGGAATGGAACCACTGATCTCATTACTTGCCAAGGAAATCAACTCAAGACCTTTCAATAAGCAAATTTCGGATGGAATATTCCCCGAAAAGTTATTGTATTGCAAGTCAAGGAAGGTGAGCTTGGAAAGGTTCCCAATGTGTGAGGGAATGGGCCCATACAGTGAGTTGTTGCGAAGGTCAAGCCTCATCAGGTTAGGGAAGAAAAGAAAGTTAAGACTATGAAGTGTACCTTTCAACCCATAATCTGGAAGGCTTAGATTGGTGATGCTTTCAGCCTTGTCGCAGATAATTCCAACCCAGCTGCAATGGCTGTCTCCAACCCACAAAGAAGAGAGCAATGTTTGGGTGTTGTTGTCAAGGCTAGCTTTCCATTTTAGAAGAGTTTCCGCTTCTTTACCTCTTGTAAGTGCAGCAATGGAGGATGAAAAAGCAAAAACAAGGGAAGAGTGAAGCAGGACAAGTATGAGGAAGAACATGACTTTGAATGGTATTAAGAAAGATGACATGATTTGGATAGTTCAAAAAGGATCTTTTGTTAATTGTTCTAAATTACATTGGCTAGCATGGTCAGGTATTTATGCAAAATACAAGAGCATTTTAGTCACTACGAAACATCGACATCAAGTGGAAAAATATAATTTCAGACCGACGGGTCTTTTACGTTTAAATTAATTTTGTTAGATGATGACAATTGGTCTTCTACGTTTAAAGGACAATTTTAACTTTAGTTTGCATTTATTATTAATCAAATGTTAAAAAAAAATCATGATAATTATTTTAAATGAAAGTTATATCTTATACATCAATCAAATTTTAAATTCTATAAATGATTTTATAAGATTACTACAAACAATTAGATCATAAATAAAAAATTATGTAAAGAAATTAATGAATTAAATATTTTATATAAAAATTTTTAGTCTTATAAATAAAATTAAAAAAATTGACATATGTTTTTTAAGCATATATCTATAAAAATTAATGAATTGATTAATTATTACAAAAATATATGCATACAAATCATTTAATTTAATTTGTGAAATTTAAAATTTTTATCATAAATTTGTATTAAATAATAATTAAATTATTAAATAAAGATGCGACAGCTGTGTAGACTATATTGAAATCAATATATAAGATAATAATTTTAAATGTATAAATTTTATTCATTTAATTTGGTTCAGGTTGATTTTTTATTCAATATTGAATCTAGTCCAAATCTTTTGGCTGCTCATTTTTAACATGTTCATGGTGCACAATAAATTATAGATCAAAGGATATCATTTATAAAAATGTAAAAAAAAAAAAATAAATATCATTTATAATTCAATTTTGATCAATATTTATTTAACCATAAAAATATCTATATAAAAAAATATCAAATTTGACTTATAAATTTGTAAGTCAATAAAAATTGATGGTTAAATTAGATTATTTCAAGTTTAAATTTTAAAATTTAAAGAGTTCAAAATTTAAGTCATTTTATAGATTCAATATTATCTAGAAGAGTTAAAATTCTGCAAGGATTTACATAAAAACATACTCTCTGAACTAATCGTATTCTTTGAACTTATTCTATCGTATTCTTTGAACTTATTCTATCGTATTCTTTGAACTAATCAAATATATTAATACTAATTCCTCCTTTCTTCTATTGTAATAATCAAACTTCATAGTAAATGTTATATTCTATTCCTTTTATATTTTATTCTCACAAAATACAAGTTTCATTCCTCTTTTATTTTATTTTACAAACCAAACATGTCGTAAGTTCTTAGATTTTTGACAATCCATAACTTAAGGTATGAACTAAACTCATGTTTGAAAATCATATGCATACCAATTATGATGTTCAGAACAAATAGATACGATTTTGGATTCAATTTTCTATGTTTAATTTTCGCTACTTGTTATGTTCATACATGTATGTTTGTGTGATAAATATTGTCAAATCGCTACAATTTTAAATGATTAATTTAAACTATTTAAATGAACATATAAACAATTATTGATCAATTTATAAATATTTAATAATTTCTTTGTTTTTTTTTATTAAGTTTGAATATATTTAATATAAATTAATGAGAAAACATTTTTGCCATGATTTTTAAGATGAAAGGATTCATTTCATCAAATTATTATATTTAAAATATTTTTATTAAGTATTTGTGTATGGTCCAAAACTGAGCTTGAATCGTATGCTCTTGCAAAAGGGTCACAAAAAATTTGCTCCACGCAGGTGCAAAGTTTGATGGTGTTGTCAATTTCAATTTTAGATCATTTCAGTTTCTATGAAAATTCATATCAAAATGCATTCAAATACAGATGGATTTTACATTTAAATTAATTTCGTTGGATTTCTTTTATAAAAAAAATTTTCAAATACTAATATTTAAATTAAGTAAATTAAATTTTAAATTCTCTCATAAATATTGATTATTGGTATTTTTCTATTTTGTAAAAAAAGAATATTCTAATTTAATTCATGCTTATTTTAATAAAAAGTATGGGTTATAAAATTTTCATGATAATTTTTTTAAATGAAAATTATATGATACATCATTAAAAATTTTTAACTCGATAAATGAGTTTATAAGATTAATACATATCATTAGGTTATAATTAAAAAAAATTAAGTACATAGACAAATTAATGAATTAAAAATTATCTAATATAAAGTTTTTAAATTTTATGAACAAAATTAAAAAATTGACATGTATTTTGTAATAATATATTTATAAAAATTAATAAATTATTAAAAAAACTCTATCATCTACATATATATAATAATTTAGTTATTAAATGAAGATACCAACCCTATAGACCATAAACCAACACTGAGATTAATTTATAAAAAACAATTCTTAAATATATAATTATATAAATTTTTATTCATTTAATTTGGTTCAAGCCTATCTTTTATTCAATATGGAGTCTTATCCAATTCTTTGGAGCTCTCATTTCTAACGTATTCATAGTGATAATTAAATTATAGGTGGGAGGATATGCAAGAGTTAGTCAATACTGAATAGAAAAGACTTAAATGAATTAAATAAAATTTTGTAAGTAAGGTTTTAAAATCATACACATCTTCATCTTCATCTCAAAAATTTAATTTTTTTTTATTTTCATTCAAATAAAAAAATGAAGTTTTATTAAATTTGGATAAGATTGACATCTCTAATGTACTGAAAATAATTTAGGATTCACTTGAATGAGTGATAAAATTAATTTTGGTGAGATTAAAAACAACGATTAGATTGGAAACTGTATCAATGAGATTAAAATCAATTGTCAAGATATGTCTTTCCATGCAAACACGTGGTAGAAATGAGGTAACTTGTAATTAGAGGAGAAATCACCATTAAATTTGTATGTAATAAACTTTTAAATTATTTAATGTTTATAAAATTAATAAATTATTTAAAAATCCATAGATTCTTTTTATGTCAAATAATAATTTTTGATAAATAATTAAAAACTAATAGAAAAATAATATCACAAATGCTATTTTTCTTTAATTTTTATTAATGATGTAGTTATCTATTTTTAGTTAAAATAATAATATAATATAATACTAAATTTTATATTTAGTTATTAATTATTTATATAATAAAATTCATAAAATAATATTTTTTAATTCATAATATAATAATAATTTTATTTATTTATAAGTTTATTCTATAATAAAATTTTTCATTATATTAAATTAAAAAATTATTTCGTAATTTATTAACTAAAAAAAAAAAGAGCAAAAATGTCAGAAGTGTCAAGAGTCTTCCACTGAAGCCACGTAAATATAATCAAGTCATGCCTTTGTGATCCAAATAGTAAAACACAGTGCAATTGTATAAAAAGTGCTTAAATGCATTAAACAGTAACACCAATTCATTTTAAATGAGGTTTTAGATGAATTTTTGTAAGCAAAATTTGTGAATTTTTTATTAAAATATTAAATAAAAACTAAAATTAATTAATTTAAATTAATGAGTTAAAAAAATCATGTATCATAAATAAAATTGAACATTTAAAATAAAAGCATAAAAGCATAAAATAAATAATTTTTTTAGAAGGCATCTGATTTAAAAATAATCGACCTTAAATAAAGAGTTTTTTATATAGTAAAATAAATTATTATGTTATGTGGTATCAATAAAAACAACAGTAGCAACTAGATACAAAAAAATATATAGTATGAATTGTATGACTTATAATTTTATAATAATATTGGTTAGAATTTTAAAATTATAACAATAATATGATTTATAATTGATTTTATGGCATATAAGATTATTATCAATTTCAACAAATAGTTGTTGCTAATAGAAAGTCAAAACAAAGTGCAACCTTACCATTATATATTTATTGAGTTTCAAGCTAGCAAAATTCTAGGCAACTAATTTTAACACTATTAAAATTAAATTTAATATAAGTTATCTTTGATGTATATGTGATCTGTTCTGACTTTGAATAAAAAATCTCTCTTCATCATAGATTTTTTAGTACAAAAAAATACAAAATTGATTTAGCCAAAGGATTAAAAATTTAAGGCGAGAAGAGTGAAAACATTAAAAATATGTAAACATGTTTTTTTAATGTGTGTTTAATAAGAAATTTTGAAAAATAGATAAAAATATTTTTATTTATTATTTAAAAAAATATATCCTTTAATTTGTAAGCTAAATCAAGATATAACATGAAGTGAAAAAGTTAGAATTGAATTTATTTCATATAAGATTTGAAATTTTCATTCTTATGATATTTTGTTTAATATCTTGGAATCAAGTTATTGGATAGTTAAAACAAAATTATAACTTTAAAATCCATATTGATTTTAAAAATATAAATAAATTCTGAAAATTTATAATCAAATTATTAATTTTAACACTGACTTATTAAAAGTTCCACCAACACATTAAAAATAACAAATTTGGATGAACTTTTTAAAGTGAAATTTGAAAACTTCTTTACTAATAATTTAATAAAAAATTTAAATTGATAAACTAATAGAGTCCAAAAAATAAATAAGAATGTAAACAAATATAAAAAATATCATTTATAATTCAATTTTAATCAATATTTATTCAATGGTAAAAATGTTTGTCTAAAAAATAAATCAAATTTTTTTCAATTTGCAAATTCAATCTATGAAATAAAATATTTCAATTTATTGGTTTTAATTTTTAATTTTAGTTTTTTAAAATTGCTTTCAATAAAAAAATGTACAAACTTCACCTTAACTTCATATAAGTAATTTTCCATTAAAAATACTTGTAGACGTTGATTTTGTCTGAAAAATTGAATTTATTTTGAAATAAATTTGAAATGATCCTAGATTTTTTCCTAACTTGTTTGAACTATTTTATTGGGTTTATCATGTAATTTTATAATGGATCCAATTATCTATTATTTTAAATCAATTTATTCAAAATACAAGCCGTTTCACTTTCTATGAGACATCCACATCAAGTGGAAAAATGCAACTTTAAGGACATGGGTCTTTTATGTTTAAATGTATTTTATTGGTTTTTTATAAAAATTGCGATTATAAAAAAATTGTCATATTGATATTATAAATTAAGAGAGTTTAATTTTAAAATTCTCTCATAAATATTGATTATTGGTATTTTTTATTTTTTT